GAAGTAGCAAGGTGAAGGACCTAGGTCAGTATGAAGAATTAGCTCTTGGTTTATCAGGACTTTTAATTGGCCAGGTCCCTGCTTGTGGTCCCTGCTTATCTTTTTTAAAATTTTATTTTTCTCAGTAAAATGTTATAAAATGTTTTCTCTTTTCTTTTCTTTTTTTATTACAAAAACATTGTATTTTCCACTTCAGGAGAATCATTCAAACCAAAAGAACATAAATCAGAGTCTCACCCCCCCCCCAGTGATAATCTTTTTTTTGTACCCTTTTATGCTTTTATATTTGTTTTTATATATACTACTCATCTTTTTAAAAGCAAAATTGAGATCATACTATTCATACAGGTTTGGTGACCTGTTTCTATCACTTAATAATAGATGAGTATCAGTACACATTCACGCATATGTTTCTGCAATATTATTTTATGATTAGCCATTACTTGGATTTGCCATAATTTCTTTAACCCACCCATTTATTATTGGATGCTTCAAGTGTTTCAGCTTTTCAAAATTACTAAGAATGCTGTTGTGATATCCCAAGACATGTCTGTTTTGTGTTGATGACAGATTATTTCCTTAGTGTAAATTTTGAGAAATGGAACTTCTGGGTCAAGGGGCATTTTAAAACTTTTGAGATTGTACTGCAAAATTATTTTCCAGAAAAGATGTGTCCGTTTATATTTCCGTTTGTGGTATGTGCATCTTTTTATTTATCTTTGTACTATGTATGGTGCTGATGGAGATATAAGAAGATAGTAGACACTGTCTGTCCGCAAAGATACTATAGGCCAGTAGAGACAATATTTCTGAGGGTGAACCCCTTCTCCTCCCTTTGCATGGAGTGTTATTGCACCTTCAGATTCTCAAAGGAAACTCATTTAAAATGGGAATTAAAATGAGTGATCATTTTTGTATGTGTTTCACTCAGGCAGACATGCCAGAACATCCTCAGATTATGTCCTTATGTATTGTAATCCTTCCTTGCAATTTCAGGCCCTTATTTTCTCAAATTAAAATAGTTTTTAGTCTCTGCCCCTTTTATTTACACTTTGTAATAGTTTCCAGAATAACCTTCCTTAAGTAGAGCTGTGATCTTGTTCCTCCTTTTTTAAAAAACCAGTTTGGACTCCCATGATTTGGTTCCATGCTACCTACTACCACAGCCTTATTTCACGCTATCATCTGTATCCAGCTGGACTGTATTACTCAGTTTTCTCAGACCTACTGTCTTCCTATTTCTTTTTCTTATCCTTTTTCTTTTCATGTTCTTTCTTCTGCCTGAAGAATGGACCTATCCCTGACAGTTTTTCTGTGAAGCCACCTGTTCTTCAAATTCCATTTTCTTCATGAAGGGTACTTTATTTAGCATCCCCCTCCTCATATGCAGAACAAACACTGGTGTGATGTTTTTCCTTTGAACTTGTATAACACTGAGTCTTTGCTAGATTCCATATATTTTACTTCAGGGTACAGGTAACATATATTTTACTTTAGGGTACAGGTAATTGTTGACCTGTCTTATACTGTCTCCCAGCCAATGAAATGTAAGGTCACTGGGGAGTAGGAATGATGCCATTCATTTGATACCCTTCCCATAGCATATATTACACATAGTTTAATAGATTTTCAGTAAATATTTGTTGTATGAGTAACTAAGTCTACAAACCCTAACTTTACAATAGTGTGAACTGGTATTTCTTAACTTTAAATGCCATCTTAACTCATTTCATCCTTACAATCACCCTTGGAGTGATTAGCTAACCAGCAAAGCTGAATAAATTCCAGGGACATTGAGAGCAGAGGTCTTCTTACTATCAATTTACCTCGATTTCCACAAGAGGGTGCTGTTGGGTAAAGTCTCTTCAAAGTGAGATGATCTTGAATAAAAATTTAACTAGGTATTAAAAACCCAGAAAGATTATTGCAGTATTTTGGATATAATCATTATACATTAAGGAAGTACACCAATGACATCAGCATAGATAGGTGCTATGTAAATCTCCTAGGGATCCCTGGATTATTATTTTGGGACAGGAGTAGGTATTATTGTATTTAATGTAGGTAGAAAGAAAGATGATAGTAAAAGATAATTAACTAATAATGAGAGCAGTTAGCTCATCAGTTGCATAGCCTTTGGAAATTGTGAGTTCACCATGATTCCAAGTGTCAAAAGCAAGGGGGTGTCATAGAATCTCTTCTTTGTTAGGTTAGAAGATGGATAAAATGACTTTGAAGGTCCCTTACAACTTAAAATTC